TCTGGGTGTGAACTGAGAAGAGTCTGAGCTGTTGATTCCCGAGGAAATGGACAGGATTCTCTGTGGTGTTACCTCAACCACCCGTCTGCTGGCTCTGGCGTCCCTTGGGTCTTGAAAGGGGCAGGGAGGTTGGGACCTCGCTGTAGTGTTTTTCACACTGACGGAAGGGGTAGCGCCTCTGACCTTGAAAGACATGGTGGTTTGTCTCCTCAAGAGGCCATTCTTAGACCCAACACGGTTATTAGATAACCACCATCCGTCTCCTATCTTTGAGAAGATGGTTGGACTGTAGCTGCAGAGAACCTTGGAGGAAGGAGGTTAGGTAGACCTGTTTCAGTGGGATTTAGGATGGAGAGGGTCTGGGTCAGGGGTAGGCAACCTTGGCTCTTTTATGACTGGTGGACTTCAACTCCCAGAATTCCTGAGCCAGCCATGCTGAGGGGAACGGGAGAGGTTTCCAAGCTGAGCCATGCTGGCTCAGGAATTCTGGGAGTTGAAGTCCACGAGTCATAAAAGAGCCAAGGTTGCCTACCCCTGGTCTGGGTGATACTTCTAGCTGACTTGTGACAAAGCTGGGATGGAGCTGGCCAATCCATTCTCATGCTCCTTGATTTCTGGGCAGATTTCCGTCCCGTCAATCATGGCACCCTTCCACACCAGAAATCGAGGGCATGATATTATGAGGATCGTCTTCCTTCAGGGCCCATATTGGTGATCAGAGGTCACTCCCAAGGCCCATATTCTCCTCTCTTAGTTTCACATCTACATCTACGTCTAGATAAAGGTGATTTGCTGGTTTAGAGTCCAGGACCATCAATAATATAATTGATGATACCCAATTATACTTTTCGATATCAGGCCAGTCAAGTGCCCGGAGGTTACACAGATTTGGATGGGGAGGAAATGTCTCCAACTCAGTCTTATTAAGACTAAGTAGCTGTGGATATTAGGGCCACCGAGATCCAGGGATAACTTAAATGAGATTGTGCTTCTCTTTTTTTTGGGGGGGTTGATGTGCAATCTGGGGGGGGGGGTGTCTTCGTGGATTCACAGATGCTGCTCAATGAGCAGGTGGCCAAGAAGGATTTTGGGCAGCTTTATCTGATGAGGCAACTGTGCCCTTTCCAGGATCAGGAGGCTTTTCAGACGGCCACTCACGCCCTAGTCACCTCTTGACTTGACTACTGCAAAGTGCACTACATGGGGCTGCCCTTGAAGACTACTTGCGAGCTTCCTCGGGCCCAGAATGCAATGGTGCAGATAGCGATGGGCGTATCTCGGTATGCCCATTGACAGCAGCTCTGCTCCGTCGGTTGGTCTGGTCTTGTTTCAAAAATGCAGGAACTAGAAAGGGGGAAATTATTAATTTAAATTTAAAAAGATTAGGAACTTTAATAAACACACACACACACACACACATATATATGTCTTTGATAATTTTGAATATTGGAATCCCAGGTATGGACATTTAAAGTCAATCAGATAAAAATAAAGCACTCTGGGATGTAAGGTAAAAGGCTTTTTTTTATTAATTGCTGAGCTTTCGTTAACAACCTGTTAACATCATCAGAGCAAAGGGCTAAATGAGAAGGGGGGGGAGAGTAAGTGCATAAATTTACATAACAGTTCTATAACGGTTTTAGTGCGGCATGTGCACATAGCATGCTTAAGAAGCTCTTAAAGGGATAAAGCAGTCAGTCTCAAGACCATTTTCAAAAGTCGCGCTTGTCAGCTGTTTGGTGCGTAGATCCAGCGCGTCTATCAGCTGTTTGGGAATTGGGCTGTAATGTTTGTTTCTTTGAATGTGATAAGTTAAATTTCATTGCAGGGGGGAGTTTTGGTCTTGGTCTTAATATTCTGTTGTTACTTAGGTGTTGTGTGTGTATGTTTTGTTGTGTGTGAGTGTCTTGTGAGGTTGCAGGATTTGTGTTTTGGACGTTTGTGTCCTGGATGTTGTGGTCAGGGGGGTGGTTGTTTCTGTGTGTGAGAATATCAGAACGTGGTGTGTTGATTGTGTAAGTTGTCATGGNAATGCAAATAAATAAATAAAAATCCAGGTTTGGGGCCCTCTCGAGGCTCCATGTGCCTTGCTGTCAGCAGCACATCGTGACCAAAACCTCACCACCCCTTCTGAAGATGAACAGACTGTGCTTTAGGGCAGGGGTCTTCAAACGTGGCCCTTTTAAGACTTGTGGACTTCAACTCCCAGAATTCCTCAGCCAGGCACGCAGGCTGAGGAATTCTGGGAGTTGAAGTTCACAAGTCACAAAAGGGCCAAGTTTGAAGACCCCCTGCTTTAGGGCTTTGCAGCTCCGAGGGCTTTGAGACCATCCCTTAATATTGTTCATTTCCCCCACCCCACCCCCCTCTTCCATCAGGACAGCCTTTAACAACAACGTCCACTCCGCCTACGATGCCCTCGGTGCCGGGGCCAAGGACAAGAAAGCCGGCGTGGACGGGAAGATCTACAGCGAGCTGCTGCGACTACTGTGCCAAGACCGGGGGGCCTCGGACGAGACCTTGCAGCCCCTCCTGCAGAAGGTCTCGTGCCGGGACCACGAAGCGGTGCCCTTCGACATCTTCCGCTACGGGGTCCTCACCTGCCTGATCCTTCTGGAGTTCCTGGCCAAGGCCGATGGCCTTTACGACGCCCTCGACAATGGCTCGGGCGCCGCCGACAAAAGGGTCTGCACGGCCGTGCTGGGCACGCTGGAGGATGCTCTCCACCTCGCCGACGTCTCTCCTCCCATCCGTTGCTTGGAGGCCGGATCCAAGCTCAGGCCGGACTGCTTGGCGATGGCTATGGACCGGGCGCTGTTGGAGAGGAAGGCCAGCGCGGCCATGAAGAAGGACGAGTTTCTCAAGAGGGCTTCGTCCATCTTTGTGACAAAAGTGAAGTCGATTCACTAAGAGGTGTGATTCCCTCGACTTTCCTGAGCGGCAGAAGTCTGCGATGCTACGGGGTGCAATTAGACACTGGCTTGGTCTGCTTTGGGGGTGCAGGCAAGGAGGAGAATGGCTTTTGTTTCTACTATTCAGCAGGGCTGCTCCCCTCTAAGGCAGGGGTGGGGAGCTGTGGCCCCTTTAAGGCCCGGTGGACTTCGACTTCCATGGCTGGCTGGGGAATTCTGGGAGTCAAAGTCCACCGGTCCTTAAAGGGGCCATAGCTCCCTATCCCTATTCTGTATGCCCAAAGTCTGAACCCCCCCTCTTGTTATTTGTTTACTTATTTATTACGGGTTCTTATTTATTTACTTGTTCACTTCCTGATTAGATGCCCTTCAAGAGCTCAAGGCAACAGCTGGAGCACTGCCTCCTCCACCGTGACAATTTCATAAGGTCGATTAGGCCAGGAGAGAGACAGGCTGGCCCAGTCACCCAGGGAGCTGATGAAGATTAAGGGGGTTCTTTTCCAGCAGGGACGTCCCCCACCAAGTCCTTGGGCATTCACAGTCTGGGGGTGTTTGAGCCTAGGATTAGGTCTGCCTATCCTGGCATAGGAGGAAGGAGCAATGGACCGGGACGGGCAGAGGCGGGTATGATGTGACCCTGGGAGCGGCCTTCATTTGGAACGTCAGCTTCACTGCCTGAAAGCATTGTCCATTGTTCAGCCTTCGACTTTTCCACTCGGCCCTTGGCGGTGGCATCCTCCGCAGCCCTCGGCTGTGTCTGCTGCTTTGGAACGCCCCGCTGGTGTGCATGAAGGCTGCCCTCTTTTGAGAATATTTTCGCAGACTAGGCCAGAGATGTCCAGCCTTGGCAACTTTAAGCCTTGTGGACTTCAACTCCCAGAATTCCACAGCCATCCTGCATTCCCTAGCATTCTGCGAGTTGAAGTCCACGAAGTCATAAAAGGGCCAAGTTTGAAGACCCCCTGTTGTAGACTCTTAGGCTCTGCCACATATAACTGGATATGAGACCCACTGATTGAAGTCCGGTTCTATGGAACAGTTGGGATTATTGCTGGTGAACCACTCTCCTTGCCACCCAGCATTGTCTCTACCTGGGCTGCTGGTTTCCGTTGCCAGGCTGCTAGTAAAGTCCCTGGGGCTGTTGGTACTTAGGGGTTGTAGTCTTCCACCTGGTGACATTGAGCGAAGAGCCACGCTGGACTTGCTGGCCTCCATAGCAACCATGGATCTGTCCCAAGTGATCCCTGGCCCGACACATCTGGATGGCTGCACATTGGGTCTTGTTTTTGTCTCCGGGCAGTTGTGACATCATCTGGTGGTGGAGGACATGAACATCAATTCCATTCCAGGGACAGTTCATTTTCTGGTTAGGTTTTGGCTCACCGGCGTCCCTTTCCCCTGCAGGAAAAAGTCACTCTGGCCCACTTCAAGCAAGTGATGGACTCTATAGGGTAGGGGTGTCCAACCTTGCCAACTTTAAGACCCATGGCTGGCTGGGGAATTCTGGGAGTGGAAGTCCACAGATCTTAAAGTTGCCTGCTATAGGGTTTTCCTCAAGGATCTGGTGGGCAATTCGAACTAGGCCAGTGGTTCTCAACCTTTTTAATGCCACGACCCCCAACCGGTCGTAAGTCGAGGACTAAACCAGTCGTAAGTCGACGACTAAACCAGTTGTAAGTCGAGGACTACCCAACCGGTCGTAAGTCGAGGACTTTCCCTGCCCGGGAGCGCCGCGCATGCGTGGTTCCGTCCCCTGCGCCGGCCGAGGCGTAGCTGGCAAGCGGCAGAGACGGAGCAGGCCGACCACCAGCTGGCCCAGCTCAAGGGAGGTAAGGCACCCGCCGGAAAAGGGGAAAAAAATGGCGGACAGCC